TGCCTTAGGCCTCGGGTCCCCCGCGCCCTGTGAAACCCCATAACCTTCCGCCCCTTCACCCCCCTCACCCCCCTCACCCCCGGGGGGTGTCCTTCGAGCTCCTCTCCTCTCCACCACCCCCCATCAGTTCTACTTCTGGTACCCTCTTGCCCTGGCAGCAGCTTCACTCGTTCGTGGTTCGTCTTCTCCTCCCCCCCCCATCCCCCCGGCCTGCCCTCCTCGCAGCCTCCGCGGCCTTCCACAGGTCTCCGAGGGTGCTGCTCGCGGTGATGAAGTTCTTCCTGGGCCAGGACAAGGACACAGGACGGGGGGAGGAAGGGGGGGGGTCGGACGCGGACAGCGACGGGGGGGAGGGGGGAGGGGGGGAGGGGAAGAAGTCTACAGGGCCAACCAAAGAGGACATCTACGCAGCATACCACAAGGTACGATGCTGTACACAGAATACGGATGTACGGTACCGGTAATTTTCCCCTGCCCCGCCTGTTGTTTCACGTGCAGGTCCCCGTCCCCCCCCCGCCCAAACCCCTTTCGGACACCTTTTGCTTCTTGCACCTTCTTATACCTTCCCCCTCCCCCCCGGGGCCACATACACACACTAACACACATACAAACACTAACACACATACAAACACTAACACACACTTAACACACACACACACACGAACACTAACACACACACACACAAACACTAACACACACAAACACAAATACACACAAACACGAACGAACATACAAACACAAAGACATACTCAAACACAGACACTCCATTTCGCCCTCAATGCAATGCAGGGCACTCGCAGCAGCAAAAAGAAGAAGCAGGCCAAGTTGAAGCGCGTGTTGGCGACCGTGAAGAAGTCGGCTCGCAAGAGTGGGTCGGCGGGTGCGGGCGCGGAGTCCTTCGCCGCCATTCACCTGCTACACGACCCGCAGACCTTTGCCGAGCGGCTGTTCGGTCGGCTGTCCCGTGGGTCGGAGAGGTTCGAGACGCGGCTGACGGTGATGGCGGTGTTGTCGCGAGTCATCGGAGTCCACAAGTGAGTGGGGTGGTGCGGGAGGAGGGGGGGAGGAGGGTGCGACGAAGCGCAGATGATTGACGAAGTAGAAACGGGGTTGTGGGGGGGAGGGGTTGGGGGTTTGTTTGAGGTGGAGGTGGGGTTGAGGTGGGTTACGAATACGTTGCACAAGGAGTGGGGTGAATGGGTGGGTGGGTGGGTGGGTGGAGAAGGTTTGGGAGGAGGAGGAGGAGGAGGAGGAGGTGCAGCAGTAGAGTTGGCTGCTGCATCAAGCCGTGAAAACGTTTCGCTTTAGCGTCTTTTCCGCTCCGCCATGTATGTGTGCTGGCGTAGCATCCCGTGTCGTGTCGTTTTTTTCTTGTTCCCCGCCGCGGCAGCGCCCCTTCCCCCCCACATTCCGATCCTGCCCTCCCTGTCCTCCAATTCCATACACACAGTAACCCCCATTTCCCACCCCCCCCTCCCACCACATCACCCGCCCCGTCGCGGGGAGGAAGGCTGTTGGTGCTGAACTTCTACCCCTTCCTCCAAAAGTACATCGCACCTCATCAGCGTGACGTCACTGCCGTACTGGCGGCACTCGTACAGGCGGCGCATGATCTGGTGCCTCCGGAGACCCTGGCGCCCGTCATGCGGCAACTGGTGGACCAGTTCGTACACGACAAGTACGGCGGTGTACGGCAGCGCGGGGGGACCTAGTCATTGCTTGGGTTTGGGCTTGGTCCTCAGTCCTCGTCTTGGTGCCTCCCCAGTGCGGCCCCCCTCCCCCCTCCCCCCTCTCCCACCCCCTCACACACATACACATACACATCTCGGCGCCTGGTCATCCTTTTGCGCCTGTAACCCCACAACCTGTCCGCGGCCATCATATTGTCAAGATACCACACCACAAACCCTTTTTCCCTTCTCCCCTATTTTCCCCCCCCCTCCCCCCCCCAAAAAATACACAACTCCAACACGCCCATGCTGCCCCCAAATCCGTGCACGCTCAGGGCCCGTCCCGAGGTCATGACTGTGGGTTTGAAGGCGGTTCGCGAGCTGGTGTTGCGGTGTCCCCTGGTGATGGGGGAGGAGCTGCTGGGGGACCTGGTGCAGTACAAGAAGTTCCGGGAGAAGCAGGTGGCGGCGGCGGCCCGGGCGCTGATCTCCACATTCCGGGACATCAACCCGGCGATGCTGGCCAAGAAGGATCGAGGGAAAGGAGCGGACCTCAGTGAGCGAGGGGGAGGGGACATACATACATACATAATGTGATCTTAGACATACATACATACATACACACGCACAGCCTTTGGTGAGGTTCCCTTCCCTTCGCAATACATCCCCGAACCCACACACATCGACACAAAACACACACCCGCACACACATTACACATCACACCGTCATCACCCCCAACCCCCCCCATCCCCCCCCCACACACACATACACACTCTTACCGGGTGTCTGCGGCTCCCGATTCACCGCCAGATGCAGTTTGAATACTTTGCAGTCGGCGCAGTCGGCTCAATTGTTGCCTCCCCCTTCGCCTTTTCGCGTCATCCTTCGCGTCGCCATCATCACATATTCCCCGCACACTGACGCCCCTATGACATACATACACACATACACACGCGCGCACACACACAAACACACATTTTGTGGATCCCGCCTCCGCAGCCGTGAAGCCGCGTGAGTTCGGCGACCTGGGGGTGGCGAGCCGCGTCGACGGCGCCGAGCTGCTGGAGAAGGCCCTTGCGGAGGGTCGTACGGGCAGCGACGACGATGACGATGAAATTGACCTGGGGAGCAGTGGCGATATGAGCGATATGAGCGACGTTGAGGAGGAGGAGGGTGCGGGAGAGGACGAGGAGGAGGACCTGGTGTCCCTGTCTGGTGCGTGTGGGGGTGGGTGTGGGGGAGAGAGTTGGGGATTGTGGGTGTGTGCTACGTGCATTGGCAATGTGTTTGTCGTACGTGTCGTACGTGTTAGGCAGGTTCGGTTGTGGAAGGGCCCTATAGACGTCGTGATCTTCTGATCTGCCGCCGGTTGCATGCGCCACGTATTCCTTGAGGGCGAGGGTGAGGGGTTCCCCTTCCCGGTCGGTACTCATTCCACCACCACCACCCCTTCCCTCACCCTCACCACCTGCTCTGTTGTATCAGTCAATCCTTGGCATCAGCTTCATTCGCCAGTGGTTCGTCCCCTCTCTCCTCTCCTTTCTCTTGCTCTGCCTTTTCCTCTCCCAACCTATCTGTCAGTAACTCTCTCCACGCATCTATCTATCTATCCATCTATCTATCTGGTCCATCTATCTATCTATCTATCCATCTATCTATCTATCTATCTATCTATCCATCTTTCTATCTTTCTATCTATCTATCTCTCCATCTCTCCACCTATCTATCTGGTCCATCTATCTATCTATCTATCTATGGTTTATAGGGGAAGAACTAAAGGGGATGAAAAACCAAAGGGAAGAACCAAAGGTTTGGTTTTGGTTTGGTTTGGTTTGGGGAGCACACCGCAGGGGAGCTCTTCCCCTATCTATCCCTGTGTTGCCCGTTCGCAGGTGACGAGGGTGAGGATGGCAGCGGCAGTGGGGAGTGGGACACCGTGTCCGAGGGGGACGAGCTGGAGGAGCTCATGGAGCAGCACCAGCGGCAGCAGCAACAGACGATGACGACCGCGAATAATAGTAGTAATAATAATAAGAGGAAGGCGGATATCAAAGAAGATGCCAAGAAGGCGAAGGCAAGAGCTCAAGCAAAGAGCGGCGGCGCGGTGGCCAGGGCGAAGGGGAAGGCAGCAGGCAGTACGGCAGCTGGTGCAGCGGCGAGGGGGCCGTTCTCCGCTTCGGCCGACGAGGAAGAAGAAGAGGACGACGACGACGATGAGGAGGGGGAGGAGGACGAGGAGGCGGGTGGTTCTCTGAGCAGCGAGAGCGGTTCTGAGGGTGAAGGAGGGGAAGAGGAGGATGGGGACGAGGACGATGACGAGGAGGAGGAGGAGGAGGAGGGGAGGGCCAAGCGGCGACGTGGCGGCAAAGCTTCGGCGGTGAAGGCGGCCAACAGCAAGAAGGCGGTAGCGGATCCGAACTCGCTGACGTCTCTGAAGCGGCGGCTGGCGGAGGCGCAGGCGGCGGCAGCGGCGAGGCAGGCGAAGAGGCAGCGTGGCAGTGGCAGTGAGGAGGAGGAGGAGGAGGAGGCGCAGGCGGCCTCGTTGGGCGAGTGTGGCCGGGCGGCAGATGACGCGGGTGCCGGTGCCGGTCTGACCCCCGGTGTGCCCATCGAGGCGGAACGGATCCTTACCCAGGAGGTGAGCGCGGGCGGAGAGCAGTCCTTAGAGGGGGGTTAGGGGTGAGGGGACTGGGATGTGTGCCTTGTGTGGGTCGGTGTACGGCTACCAGTACGGAAGCGTGCGCCTAAAGAGTACCAACGGAATCAAGTAGGCCTAGAGCTACCTGCCTGCACGACCTGGGACGCAAAACGCCCGGGACCGGGGGACATACCAAGAGAGCGTCCGGAGGGGTACGTGGTGTGTCGAGACACAGATAGACAGACAGACAGAGAGACAGCCACCCCCTCGTGGTCCCGGACGGTTGTTTCCCGGACGTTGCCGTCCACCCCTCTCCCCGCACACACACACCACCTCTTCCGGAACCACGGGTCGATGATTTCATCGCGCCCTGCACTTTTTCACTGCCGTTTCGGACCTCTTGGACACCACCGCCGTCCAGCAGTTTAGTTCACTTCCCTCACTTTTCTCACGCAAAAATATGATTTCCTCCCCCCCTTTCCTCCCCCCCCGCCCACCTCTCCTGCAACTCGCAGGACTTTGAGCGCATCCGCAAGTTGAAACAGAAGGCCATGGTGGAGGCCGCGCTGGCTAAGCATGGCCTTGCCTCGGGCGCCTCCAAGTCCAAGAAGGCTCGGCTGCTGGAGGCGGCTGAGGAGGAGGCGGCGGAGGCGCTGGCGCTGAGAGAGCGTCTGGCGGTCATAGGGGAGGCCAAGGTGCATGCGGAGGACCTCGTAGGTGAGGTGTTTTTTTGGGGGGGAAGGGGGTTGTGTCTGTGTGTGTGTGTAACAGCAAACTACATTTCCCAGCTGCTCGCATGTTTAATAAAATCGTCTTTGTTGTGAATTTTTACGGACATGTTACCTTATGAAACACTCATTTTATTACGCAGATAGAAAATCATAATTGTTCATTAAAAATGAAGTGTGTGTTTGTGTGTGTGTGTGTGTGCGCGTGGAGGGGTTTAAAATAGGGAATGATAGGGAAGGGGGAGGGGGGTTCGATTCGCTGCGTTGGTTTGGTACCGGTACCGTCACTTGATGTGTTGTTCTTACGTTCTTACGTGCTCAAACGCGGCCGCCGGTTTTCGGGTTGTGTTTTCCTTGCGCGGCTGGCTGGCTGTACCACAGGACGTCATAAGGCCCGCAAGGACAAGGCGGCGCGACTGGCCAGCGTCTTGGAAGGGCGCGAGGGACGGGAGAAGTTTGGCGCACGGAGCGGGCTCAAGAAGAAGAAGACGGCAGGGCTCAGCGAGCGCGAGAAGCAGCGCAAGAAGGTCATGCCCATGGCGGCGCGTGTGGCGCAGATCCGGCGACGCAACGCAGCGGCGCGGGGCCGGGGGCGGGGGAAGAACTTCAAGGGGCATGTGCGGGGTTAAAAGGCCGGGCTATGGGAGTCGTGGAGTGATGAAGGCTTTGCGAGTTTCGGCGAAGGTGGTTTTGGCTTTAGGCGGTGGCATATGTTGGGTATTATATTTATGAGCGAGTCCGGCGGCGTTGGGACGAGCTTCGCAGCTGCCGTACGGGGCAAAGCTCTTGAATCGTTGCTTTGTTAAGCGATCATGTTTCGTATCAAAGTCAAATAGACGTATGCAGGCACGTTTGTTGTTAGGATTTTTAAATCCCTGTACAAGGGGTGTGATTAGTCGCAACAGTCGCGCTAATTCCAGTTCGTAGAACGACGCAATTCGAACCCGCATGCCCTTTAACTTGGATAGCTTTCATCTGCATTTGATTTTCCTCGCGATACATTATGAATTTGTCGTTACAGTTGGTCTTGCACTCTACAACTACTCGGCGAAGAACAAAAGAACGTGCAGACATATAAGAAGCTGCCCGGAACTAACTCTTGACTCAACAGCTTTGATCCTATTATGACGATGGCGGAAGAAGCCGTTGTCCCCTGCACGATACACTTGAGCAAAATCAATGTGACAGTGCTGGGCGTCCTATGCGTTTTTGGGTTTCTTTATTACGTTTCCGTATTTTGCGTGGTGCGTCATACTAACGCTTGGGTTCATGTATTTCGGCGAGCACCTCGGCTTGACAACGGCTCGTCCTGCGCAGATTGTGCCGTGGCTCAGCTACTCCGTCCCCGGCATCACAAACATGGGGGTATTGACCGTCACAACCTGCCTCTCTCTCTATTGCTACATGTTTTGCGTGATGCTGGACGCGGGCAGGTGCGCTCTGCGCTTGCTCACGGCGGTTGGGACCTCAAAGCCAGCCGATGCCCACAGCCGTGTATACCGCACCGCTGGCACAAGCCATACGTACATGAACACATCCCCCGCTCCGACCCACATGACCGCAGACCGCCCCCTAACTACCAGCCTGACCAGGAGGCCTCCAGCATTCTGGAGGTCAAACGGAAGGTACGTATGGCCTCAATCGCGGTTATGCCGTGTGTGCACGTACCCAAGTCCCGCGTCCCGAGCCACATGGGTGATGTTTGCTATCTTGGGCCCAGCACCCCGACCTCTCAAGGGCCTTACGGCCCCCCGAACACCGCGCAAGCGGGAAGAAAAGCTTGACAAGCTCGCCCGCCCACCCACCCGCCCGGGAATCATGGAACGTCATCATGGAACGCTATGAACGACCCCCTGGGCCGGTGTCCGTGGGGATCAGCGCCAGGGTCAATCCCGTCCACGTCGTCTCGACCCCCTGCTCGACCCGACCCAACGGCTGTACGGCATCCCCTTGCCTGAATCCGCGCCCTGTGGGCCCACCCTGGGGCCCACAGCTGTTGTCCTTTCCATTTGACAACTCACCTCTCTCTTCTGCTGGCTGGCGCCCGCACGCAACCGTCCCACACAACCGTCCCCACACAACCCTCCACCGGCAATCCGCAGGACGGTGCCCCCCGCTACTGCCAGAAGTGCCAGCAGTTCAAACCCCCTCGAAGCCACCATTGCCGCAAATGCCAACGTTGCGTGTTGCGCATGGTGGGTGCTAAATGGGGGCGGGTGGGAGGGTGAGGGCGGTCGAGGAGATGAGGGTGGGTGGGAGGGTGAGGTTTAAAGAGGCAGTTTTGAGGAGGAGGGGCTACTACGATGGGATGAGGCGCGGAAGGTGCATATGGGGGTGCATACGGAGGGGGAAGCATTGCTCCCAGCTTCCACGAACTCGAACACGAACCCGAAGAATCTTGTTTCTCCAATGTCTGATCCCCCGCCGCCCCCCCCGGGACCTCCTTGCGATGACTCCTCAGGACCACCACTGCCCCTGGACCAATAACTGCATCGGGCATGCCAACTACCGGGCCTTCTTCCTCTTCCTCATATGTGAGTGGGTAGAGTTGGGCAGGGCAGGCCTAGGCTGGGCTGGGCAGGAGAAGGGGGAAAGGGGATTGGGACAGGAGATCTTCTGGGAGACCGCCCGGCGCCTCTTGTGTCGCGCGCCAATACCTAATACCATTTTGGACCTGTGAGAGGCATCGACAGACAGCTGGCCGTTTGCATGTTTGCGCACGTATGCAAAACCAGCTCCCCCAGCGTCCTCCCCTCTCTCCTTGGAGGCACACACACACACATACGCACATATAATGTATTTGTATTCGTAAACATGCGTAAATAAATGTACGTAATGTAAATTTATGTTCGTTGCAGATGTGAACGCGGCGCTGATCCACGTCTGCGGCCTGCTGGCGGCTCACACGCTGCACGTGTTGCAGACCAGCCACCTGCAGCGGGTGCTGCGGACCGGACCGCAGAGCAAGCCGGTACTGCTGGCGGGGGGGTGGATTGGCTCCGTGTGGCTGTGGGCGGTGTTGCAGGTACGTGGTGCGCGATGGAGTGGAGCGCGATGGAGTGGAGCGGAGGCGTCGCGGGAGAGAAAGTGGGGGGTGGGGGGAAGGGGGGTGCGTCTCCGTGTGCAGTTCTCGGGCTGCGTCTGTCTGCTGACCCGGTGCGTTGTCGGGGCGCTATGGGCCCTCTGGCCGTTTTGCCCCTTCCCCGGGCTCAACCCTCCGCCATCGGGCAAAACATGCCATTGTCACATGTCCATTTTGCGCTCTCCGGCCACCGCCACCGCCACCACCACAGCCTGTCCTGCGCATTGCAGACAGCACTACACCTCCCGGGGAGTGTTATGGGCACAGCACATGGTGCTCTGAAAGTGTTTGTACGACAGCTGTCCCTTCGCTTCTTGTATCAACTGATTTCCCATTTCCAAAGGTGCATCGAGACAGCTAAAATCGACCTGGTCTAAGCCCTCTCTCTCTCACACACACACTCACATCGCCTCCCCTTCCGTCCCCTCCCTCCAGGCGCTGGCCTTCGCAGTGGCCCTGCCCCTCACCATCAGCTTGCTGCTGCTGTTCGTCTGGCATGTGCAGCTGGTCATGGTCAACAAGACGACCATTGAATACCAGGAGGTGCGCGGATGGGTGGAGAGGGTGGAGGCGGGGGAGGAGGAGGAGGAGGAGGAGGCTGTGAGGGCCTTGCCCCAGCACGCAATCCCTACTCCTTTTAGCGCTTTACGCCGTCTGCCCCGCATCTCCCTTTTCCTTGGCCCCGTGTTTATTGGTTTGCTGATCCGCTCTGCAGCTGGTTGACAGTTGAAGACATATTCACGACCTAAGTCAAACTTGAGAAATATTTTGTCAAAAGCAGTCGTGAAAGCAGCCCTCATTGCAGCATGCTTTTCGGTTCGGATATCCCGAAATCAACATCACCGCAACATACCGCTAATGCCAACCGTAACCCAAAAAACGCAGGGCGTTACCGCCAGCATCAACGCCGCCGCCAGCGGTGCCCCCCTGCCCGACCTACGGCGGCACCCGTACGACCTAGGGCTGTACGTCAACCTGATGACCATACTTGGCTCCAATCCCGCAGTGTGGCCGCTGCCGCCCTGTGCCCCCACTCCGGGAGGCACCTCCTACTCCACCAAATGGGACCTGCTCAGCGCTGCAGATGCGGAGGAACACGAGGCGCGATTGCTGGGGCTCACGTGAGGTCTGGATAGAGGAGGGGGAGGTGGAGGGGGAGGAGGAGGGGGAGGGGGAGGGCGAAGGGCTCTGGGGGGGGGAGCTGTTAAAATGCGTTGGTATGTGTGTGTGTGTGTGTGCTGAGTGTGCTGAGTGTGCTAACCGTTTGGAGAAAGGGAGAGATTTGCAGGCGGCGCAGCTGCAGTGAAAGTGCCGTGCTGTTAGTGCCTCTACAGTGATTATCACGGGTGTGATTTCTGCCGCCAGGCGTAACGACTGAGAGCTGTACGGAAGGAGGAGAAAAGCGGGTTAGTTGGGAAGTAGGGTAGGGACCGGACCATTTTTTTATGATACGCAACTGCGAGCACTGTGTGGACGGAGGAGCTGGGGATTGGGCGCTGCGCGCGTCGCACAATCAAAACTTGGTTTGCCCGTATGGGGCTGTGCCTTGCGGTGTGAATTCCATTTGTGGTGCACAATCTGCTGTCCTAGGTGGAAGCGCTTTTTTGGGACGACGCTGAGACAGAAGGGGGGAAAAGTTGTTTTGGAGGAGAAAAGCAGACCGCGCTGCCGAGAGCCGGAGAGAGGAGGTGGCTGCAAGGATCGCTGGGAAGGTGCCATATTTCTGCAAAGCCACCTTTTGCCTTTGGCAGCACAAGGCCTAAAGACCTAGGACCTTGTCCTCTGCAGTCGCTTCTGCTGCTGTGGTGTACAGACCGACCGCATCCTCCACACCTCCTGACACAGGCGATGGTTCAAAAGATCTGATGATACCCCGACTCATCTCCATTCCCCTCCGGAACCCGGTATCTACGGACACCCAAGTTCTACTAATGCTATTCACCTTTCTCACACCGAACAAAGGTTGTATCTAGTCCACGGGCACCACACATGTGATGGTGGACTACGGCGCGACCCATTTCCGGTCCCCACCTCCTCCCCTAGCTGTAGCCTGGCGGCCACATCTAGCACACGAACGCCCGATCCACATCGATACAGCGCCGCAATGCCTTCCACTACTCCCTCCTCGGCGCCCTCTCCCATCCTTGCTGTCCCCCTCAACCCCCTCTCTTCCCCTTAGCATCTAATCAGCATTAATTTCCTATTTCCGTACCATGCCGCGAGTGAAAGAGGCATTCGGTCCGGAGATCCTAACTTACTTCCAGCATACCCTCAATCCTTACACGACCCCAGCACCTCGGCCTCTGAATGCCATTCCTGGGATTTTTGGCCTCCACGAGTAAAGCCATCACCATCGCCATAGCCATGCATGAGACCGCACAGGCACACGAACGACGACGACTTTCGAGCCGTGGCATTGCATGGCGCAGGCCCCTCTCTTCTCTCTCTCCAATCTGCAGTGACCCCATGCGACCGCTCCCCAGGCGCTAGCGGAGGCTAGCACCACCGCCTCACTTCGCCTCGCCTAGCGTGGCGTTCCTGACGTGACTCGTCGACAGATATTTCAGCACAATGTCGTGCCCTCCCTCGCTCTCTCTCTTTTCCATGCCCAAATGCATGCGGTGGAAAACATATGCCCAGAGCACAGGCACCAAGACCTGCAACATCTATAGACATGCTATTACTGCACGCGCACGACCTCGGACACACGACCTTCCGCTCCCTCGCGCGAGCCACAGGTTCAAGGATGACGCCTCTGCCATATGCTCGTTCCAATCAGAACAGCTCCCAACACCCTGGCACGGTGCAAAGCAAAGCTTGTCCCCCCGTCTCGCGTCTGTCCCCCCGTCTCGCGATGGAGGTTCGGTCGGGATTTAGCGGCAACCCTCACCCTCACCAAGATGACAACCGCAGCATCCATTGCAACAGTATAACAACTAACAACGATGCTCACCCAGCCTGACAAGTTACGGCCCACCCGCCGGCGCCCAAGCACTGCGAACGAGGGACCAGCGTGACCATATATATAGAGAGAGGAGTCAGTGGCAGCCGCCCCAACCCCCCCACGCTGGTTGGCTAGGCACTACCACCACTGCTGCTTCCCGCGCCGGTCTCCAGCACCACAAGCCGACCCCCTTCCGTCACAACGGCCAGCCGTACCGCCGCGCCGCTGTTGCCGTACGGATATTTGTACACGTCCAAGCCGGACACCGCCGCGCCGCCGGTCTCCACGCCCTCCCATGCCGGGTATAACCCATCCGGCTCCGGACCGCCGGGCCGAACCGGCTCCGTACCGCCCGCCATAAGGCCCACATCCCATAGCCGTACAGCTCCTGACTCATCCCCTGCCACCGCTGCCCTTGAGTCGGCCGCGCAGCATCGGACCGGCGCACCGCATGCCACTGACGCCAGCCGCTGCGCGGAAGATGAGCTCCCGCCGACGCGGACGTCGTACAGCGTCAGCGCGCCGTCAGCCGTTGCAGCCAGCACCATGACCGGTGCAGTTGCCGCTGCCGCCGCTCCGGCCGTAATGAGCGCCAAGCCGCCAACGTAATCCTGCGCAACCTGCGTCTGCCATACGCAGCCGCAACCAGGGCGACCGCTGCCACGCCCGGGCGCGCGGGTATCCCACAGAGCCACGACCCCCTCCTCCGTGCCCGTGGCCAGCAAGGGCCCGTCCCATGGGTCAGTGGCTAGCGCCCAGACGCCGCTCTCGAAGTCACGCAGCTCAACGGTGGCGAAGCTGAGGCCGGTCGCCCAGGGCGCACGGCCCTCGGCCAGGCTGCGTGTGGAGTTATGGGCCGCAAGGGAGGCATCGTTAACGCGTTGCCAAGGGGCAGAGGCAAGCTAGGCGACGGGATGGATATTCAGAATTGGAAATTAAGATTGGAAACCAAACACTGCAGATGTTCAGGAAACCCAGGACAGACAGACAGACAGACAGACAGACACAGATGAACATTGCCTTTGGTAGGCAGGCAGGCATTACCTCCAAATCTTGACGGAGCAGTCCCAAGAGGAGGTGACCAACGCCGTAGATGTGGCCGCGGCTCCGCCTTCACCACCGCCGCCACCACCAGATGACATCAACTGCACGCAGCACACCGCGTCGTCGTGCGCTTCGAAGGAGCCCATGACGCGTCCAGCGTCGGGCGAGTAAGCGTAGACCTTGCGGTTGTGCGAGCCCGACAGCATCAATCTCTGGTGCCGCGGCGCCGCCGCGGCGCCGCCGCCGCCGCCGCCGCTACCGGGAATCGGCAGGAGTGTCAACGACAGCAGCTCGCCATCCAAGTGCGCCGATCGTACGACGGTCAGGCCGCCGCCGCCGCTACCGGTGGCATCGGCGCCAGGTGCCGCGTCGGCGCCGACGGCGGTCTCCGCCAGGACGCGAATTCCGGACTGACCCGCGCAGTACAAGTAGCCGTTACGACCGGACGTCACCGCGGCGAGTGACCCCCGGGTCAGCTGTGACCAGGCCACTGTACGGAAGGGCCGCCTGCACAGCGGTCCCCAGCCCCAATCTGCGGCCTTGCTCCAGCCAGATCCAGCACCGGCGCTTCCGCCACCGCCGCCACCGTTGGCCACGCCGCCACCGCCGGCGCCGTGCGCTGCCGCCGTCACCAAGCCGGTTGTGCCAGCGTTCCCTGTCGTACCCGAGGCGCCACCGCTGCCGGCTCCGCCGCTGACGCCACCGTCGCCTGTGGACCTCCGGCTGCCTCCGCCACCGCCGCCGCCGCCGCCAGCATTGTGATGGAAGACCCCCGCTATCGAGGACAACAGCGCACTGGCGGCGCCAGCAACGGCCGCCGGAGCGGACGCAACTGACGCAAGTCCCGACATGGCTCCTGACACGCGGCTCGATGCGGCCTCGTAGGGGGGGGAGGGGGAGGAGGACACCTCTGCGAGCGCGGGTACACCAGGCCCAGTGCCTGTCTGCTGCGACTGCTGTTGCTGTTGGTTTTGTTGCTGTTGTTGTTGTTGTTGCTGATATCGACCCAATTTGAGAAAGCCTGAAATCACGGAAGCCGCAGTGGCGGCTGTAGCTGCTACGGCGCCAGCCCGCTCCGGCTGAGCCGCAGGCGGCAGCTGCGCCTCTGCCGCGGTGCCGCCACCGTCGGACGACCCCTCCGCCGCGACCGCCGCCGCTGGTGCGCCGTACTCTGGCGCCGCCGCCGCCATGATGGTCGACAGGAGCGCCAGCGCGAGGTCGCGATTTCCCGCGTCGCCCTCGCCGCCATACCCAGTGCCTGGACCTGCCGCCGCCATCGCAGTGGCGGTAGCGGCAGTAGCGGCGACAGAGGTAGCGTCACCGCCACGATCTTCCGGGAAGATGGTGGCGGGATCCGGCGCCGGCGGACACACGAGTCGCGGCGGGTGCGGCGTCGTGAAGAGCTGCTTGGGCGTCTGACCGAACTGCACAGCGCCAAATGGTTGGTGTGTCATGTCAAGTAACCATCAATCTCGTCAGTCCAGCCAGCCAAATAACCAGACAGACAGGCAGACAGACAGATAGACAGACATGCAGACAGACCAATAGAAAGACAGCTAGCTAGCTATCCAATCAGGGAATACCGGGTGACGGCCTTCCACTCCTAATCCTCCCCTTCGCCAGCCCGCTGTGCCCACCTCGTTGATTTGCGTCTCCAGCGCCTTCAACTCCACCTGGGAGGCCACCGCCGCCACATCCACAGCCCCCTCGTACGTCAGGTAGTAAAACACGTTGTCCGCGGCCTCTGGCAGGGCATGGTGGTGCCCGGTTAGAGGGGGCGACGGGGGCATCCAGCTAGGTAGGCAACAGCATGAGGAAGAGAATGCTACGGAGACGAGACAGCTCGCACCATGACACGCACTGCAAGACAGCGATGCTCGGACACTGCCCAGGCTCCCCGGAACGTGAGAAGACAACGCACTGTACTGCATTGTACTGCATTGTGAAATGCCCTGTTCCACATAACTCCACTCGAACACACACACACACACATACACATATGGATTAGGGTGCCCCTCTCGCAGGGGAGAGCAGGGAACTGCCTCGGGAAGGGAAAGGGGGCCGCTGGTGAAGCTGTACCACCCTGTAAGAACATCATAGCATCATACACACACTGCCGCTCACTACCCCCCCTCCCCCGCACACTCCCCCCCCTCGTCCCCCGCACCCGCTGCCTCTCCTCGCTGCTTGTACCCGAAGATGAGGTCTATCCAGGCGTGCAGCTGGCGGCTCACCGCCGGGCTCTCCAGAGCTGCACGGTGCTTGGCCAGGAAGTCCCGCGGACCGGTCGCCCAGGGGGGCAGCTCAACATCGTCCACTGACCTGTAACAGCACGAGTGAAACACATACATACATACATACATACATACATACATACATACATACATACATACATACATACATACATACATACATACATACATACATACATACATACATACATACATACATACATACATACATACATACATACATACATACATACATACATACATACATACATACATACATACATACATACATACATACATACATACATACATACATACATACATACATACATACATACATACATACAGGTCGACCTGGCCCGAATGGGTCAGGACACACCTCGACCCATCAACCCCAGCACCCACGCGGGACAGGTCAGCGACCCTGGCAGCCCTTAAGACGCTACATGGCGCTATCAACCCGGCCTGGCTCGAAGCTGCAAGAGCAGTGGAAACCCAACAGCAACAGCAACCCCAGCCGCAGGCACAGA